TACACATGTAAGAAGGGAGTTGAAAATTCTACCAGATTATTTCCTGAAAGGATTGTAACAACATATGCTCATTTAAGTTATTTGAAACTAACCATTGTTCAGTACCATCACTAACACTAAAATTGTCAATCCTTTAACTTCCAAAATTTTTCAGGATAATTTTTTAAATTTCATTGTTTTGGCTTATACTTCTTATTATTACGGAAGCTTTAAATGAAGTGCATATTTGTTGAACTCTTTACTTAGTGTAGGGTTAATTTTATAAGTATAAAGAGAATTGAAAATAGATCTTCATAAAACTGAAGAGTGGATTAGGAGAGGGGGGAGTAAGAAGGGTGGAAGCATGGGCAGGAAGTAGGATAGGGCGGTAAGTATCACTATGTTCCTGAATTTGTATATATGAAATACATTAAATTTGTGTACCTTAAATAAAATTTTTAAAAAAGAATTTAAAAAACACATGTTCAGTGTTCACTGTCCACTTGTACTTTCTCTTTTCTCAATCACCTGCTCATCTTCTTTGCTCATTTCTCTGAGGTTTTTCATAATTTTTAAAAATTTGAATGGACTATTAATATATTCTGAACATTAATCTGTAAGCTCTGGTAAAGCCGAGATTTTTATTCTTTTGCTCACTACTAAATCCCCAGGGTCTAACTTTTTTTTTTTAACAAGCAGTTAGACAGTGAGAGAGAGAGAAACAGAGAGAAACATCTTCCTTTCTGTTGGTTCATCCCCCTAAATGGCCGCTACGGCCAAAGCACTGCGCCGATCCGAAGCCAGGAGCCAGGTGTTTCCTCCTGGTCTCCCATGCGGGTGCAGGGCCCAAGCACTTGGGCCATCCTCCACTGCCCTCCCGGGCCACAGCAGAGACCTGGACTGGAAGAGGAGCAACCGGGACAGAATCTGGCGCCCCAACCAGGACTAGAACCCTGGGTGCTGGCACTGTAGGCGGAGGATTAGCCAAGTGAGCTGCTGCGCCGGCCCCCCAGGGTCTAAAGAAGCACATAAAATATAGTGTGTACTCCATTAATCTTTACTGAAAAATAAATAAACACAGAGTTTATAATTTTCCAGTGTAGTCCTTCTTGATTCTGAAGTGTCACAAATCCTTGAAAATTTATATGATCACTTTTATCAATTTCCCCTCCTAACTATACTAAATTGTATTCCCATTTGGGTTATAGGCAGTTTCTCCTCTAATTCTATGCTCTTTTTTCTATTTTATTCATTTTAATCCAATTTAATGCATTCTCCTTGATTTTCATGTTTATAGGATGAACAAAAGAGTATTTTATCAATACTTATCAATTAAGATGTTGGTTTATATGTAACTCATGTGATGAATTTTATATAAAATCACATTCCACACACATGTCAATTGTTTTTATGGCTGACAAACCTAAATACAATGTAAGTGCCTTCTATCTTGAGTCATTGATCTCTGGAAGTACAGGGGAATACGAGACAGTTAGGAGGTTACGTTTCTGCAATAGTGTTCTCCCAACATTTTCAAGGAAAGGGCTGTAGGAAGTGTTGTGCAAGGCAGCTCATTGTTTTCCTTTGTATTCAATCTATTGAAAATTAAATTACAGAGTAAGTTGGGCCTTGGATAAAAGAATAAGGTAAATAATATCAACACTGCTATTTCTTTGTAAATGTGGTAAACAAACTCACAGAAGTAAAACTCTAGGATATGATGTCAAAAAACCTTCAGAAACTTAGCAATAGCATACATTTGGACAATAAAAAGTATGATACACACCTCAAAGTAATTTTGGGAACTAAAACAGAAAAAGTCCTTTGAGGGTTCCTTATCACAGCAATGTTCTCTGGAAAGGATAGACCGTCATATCTGTCTTTTGATCACATTCCCATTCCTGAGTAGTAGCATTGTCAACATGTAATATGAAAACCATCAATACATGCTGCTATTGTTTGCACTCCAAAAGTGATAAAGCTTATGGCAAAGGAAGAAAAACAAGCCAGGACGTAATATTCTGAGATGAGAAGTCTAAGTCTAGCAAATCAGTGAAGAAGGAAGTTGCAAATATGAAGTAGCTGTTTTCACCATCATTAAAGGTTAAATTCTTGAGTAGAAAGATCTATTTATCATGACTGGACATTACACAAAACATACATTCACAAGGCATCACATGGTACTCCATAAATAAGTATAATTCTTTAATGTCTTTTTAATTTAAAAAATTGAAATAAATAAGACAAAAGAAAGAGTTGATCATTTAAAGAACTGTGTCAATAAGTCTATATTCATTTAAATAAAATAAAAAAACATCTGTCATGTATTGTTGAACTTTGCACACAAAGATGACAGCTGCAGATTTTATTATCCATCTATAGTTACCCACTGAAAAGGCAACAAATGACGAAGACCATTTCCCCAGTTGAATAATTATTTATATAGTGTCCTTCTATGAAAATTATTCATCAAATTTGGTCTTCTTAATTCTGAACTACAGATTTGGAGAAAAAGCACATGAAGGCACTTCATAGGGCAGTAACTAGGACATAGGAATATTAAATGAATTCTCCAAGACACTGTACTTGTATATAGTACTTCAGTCTACTTATTTAATAAAGCATACTAGCTATTTGTTAGGCATCTATTGTGCCTGGCCCAGGAAAACTTATGTTATAGATTTAGAAATTAAAACAAAAATCCGCCCTTTAGAGATTTAATACTTTTTAGTGATCCATGATTGACACACTGTTGTACAGATACACACACTAAGTCAAACAAGCAAAGACAGCATGAAAGTGTGATTTAAAAGACTGATTTAGCCAGTAAAATATAATTTCTACTAGTTTTTTTTTTTTTTTTTTTTTGACAGGCAGAGTGGACAGTGAGAGAGACAGAGAGAAAGGTCTTCCTTTTCTGTTGGTTCACCCCCCAATGGCCACTCCGGTGGCCTGCACACCATGCTGACCCAAAGCCAGGTGCTTCTCCTGGTCTCCCATGCGGGTGCAGGGCCCAAACACTTGGGCCATCCTCCACTGCATTCCCGGGCCACAGCAGAGAGCTGGACTGGAAGAGGAACACCAGGGACAGAATCCAGCGCCCCGACCAGGACTAGAACCCAGGGTGCCGGCACCACAGGTGGAGGATTAGCCTATTAAGCCACAGCGCTGGCCAATTTCTACTAGTTTTAAAATAAAATCTGTCTCTAGTTCAGCATTATAAATGGAACACTTATTAACTGGAATAATCTCCAATTGCTATAAAAACTTCAAAACACACAACATGTTATTTTGGAAAATGAAGAAATTAAACTCAATAAATATCTATTGAACAACTATTGTGTGCTGAGGTTTAGGAATACAAAAATGAGTGGAAAGTGGTACCTGTTCTTAAAGATCTCTCAACCTATGGAAGTTCATTTGGGGGAGATTATAGAGTTTGGACCATAGTGGACTACAAAAGAGGAAATTAAACCATTTAACTCAAACTGCAGAGGTATCTGAAGGAAGAACTTTCTGATGGAAGATGCATCATATGCAAAAACACAGGATATCAACAAGTAATTGGGTGACAGTACTACAATAGCAATGTTGCATTAGGGAGAAAAAAGAGATTAAAACTAGAGAATTAGTCAAAACCTTCATGTGTTATATATTAGAAATCAGAGTGTGTATATATATATATATGTATTTTTTTTATTTGACAGATAGAGTTATAGACAGTGAGAGAGAGAGAAAGGTCTTCTTTCCATTGGTTCACTCCCCAAATGTCCGCCACGGCCTGCGCTGCACAGATCTGAAGCCAGGAGCCAGGTGCTTCTTCCTGGTCTCCCAAGCGGGTGCAGGGGCTCATGGACTTAGGCCATCCTCCACTGCCCTCCTGGGCCACAGCAGAGAGCTGGACTGGAAGAGGAGCAACTGGGACTAGAACCCGGTGCCCATATGGGATGCTGGCACCACAGGCAGAGGATTAACCAAGTGAGCCACCGTGCCGGCCCAGAGTATATTTAATAGCCCTTGTCACCCTATTTCCTCTTTGAAGTTTCAGAGACTATTTAACAGCCCTTGTTCACTCTATTGATGAAAAAGGAGTCCCTTCAACATTCCACCCCCACTCACAGTTATATTAAATTCATGTCACCCTCCTCCTCTCCAATTTCATTGCACTGGATGACTAAACTCTTTTAACTCCAGATCACATTCACTCTCACTGCCTCCTTGGCCATCACTCACCTCTCTTTCTCTGGCTTCAGCTCTAATATCAGTTACCACAACAATAATAAATATATACCCATCCTTCAGAAACACACTCACTAAAAACACATCTGAATCTGCCTCTTTCCTCTCCATTTTATAACTAAGCATTTCAAGCTTCTCAAAAAGACAAATTCCCTACACCTCGGTTCTCACTCTTCCAGTGACATCCTTCCAACAATAGTCTACATCCTGTTAGACTGATCTTCTGCATTTGACATTATGAATCACTCTCTTGAAGGTCTCTTCGGCAGTATGTCTACACATATACAAAAATATCTTACTGATTTCTCCTCTCCTTCTTCAGATGAATCTTTTTAGTCTCCTTTGTTAATGTTGCCCCTTGAACTACTAATATATTCCCTCCTTTACACTAAAAGAAGCACTTCAATGATAGTCTCCTTAGTTATAACACTTCCCCCTTAAATGACAACCATGTGTTATTTTTTCTGTTTTATCCAGAATTTTTCTCTCAAGACTAGTCTACTTGTCCTCACTTATTTTTTCTTAATCTCCTTTTACTTCACCCATTTGCTGAAACTCCAATAATGGACTGAATCTGTTCTTTCAATTTTCACAGATGTCCACCTAGACAGGAAGTCCAATGAGTTCTTAGCTTTTGCCTGTACAGCAGCCAATAATTTGTTCGCTCCTGAAACTCTTCCATTACTTGAACCCATAACACTCAGAACTCATCTTACTCTGTTTTCTTCAACCTCTGTCTACACATAAAAGTTTAAACAGTCATCCATGTTCAAGTCTCTTACCTGTCTCCTTAGATGATTCAGCCTTATACTGTAAGAACATTCTCTTGGAAGAGTGTATCAACCTATAAAGAAATGGCAATAGAAATTTAGTATCTGAATTTTTAAGATTTTTATCTTAAATCTGTAGATTTCAGGAAGCATGCCAATTATTCACTTATAATTTAAACATATATGTATAGATTCGTGTATAGTCCCTGTTCTCATTGAACTTACAGTCAGAAGGGAAATAGATTTTAATCAAGTATTTTTAAGACTTTTTTTTTTAACCTAAAATTCAGAGTTACAGAAAGAAGGAGAGACAGAGAGTGAGAGAAAGAGAGAGAGAGAAATCTTCCATCCAATATTTCACTCCCAAAATGATACCAATGACCTAAACTGAGCCAGGCCAAAGCCAGGAGACAGGAGCTTCTTGTGGGTCTCCCACAAGAGGCCCAGGGACTTGGGCCATCTTCTGCTGCTTTCCCAGTTTCATTAGTAGGGAGCTGGATCAGAAGTAGAACAGCTGGGACTCAAACCAGCACCCATAAGGGATGTCAGTGTTACAGGCCACGACTTAATCTGCTCTGCCACTGCATCTGCCCTTAACATTTGAATTTTTTAAATTAGCCTTCAACTACACCTTTTAATTGACTTCAGCATGTCAGCTTTCTTTCATTCTTTGCAAAGGGAGATAGCCAGTGTCCACGATAATCCACAAATAAATTTCTATTATATAATAAGTAATGTTTAAATCCTTGGGCAAGCATTGAAATCTTCCATTCTGGACCTCTACCATCTTTAGGTCCTACTGAATCTCCTTGCCATCCATTCATCACACAGACTGATTACAATCAACTTAATTATATAAGAAGTGAAGAGGGATGCAGAAAAAATGTGGATAGACTTGGCCTGAGTACAAATGCAGCTTGTAACATCTTTAGCAAGTTAATTAGTATACCTAAGCCTACATTTTCTTATTTGTAAAACTGTAGGGATACCTAATTCTTAGTCTAGTCTCCTGATAAAATAAAATCAACCTTTTAAAATGATTGGCATAAAATGCAAATACTCATGTATAACATTTATTTTTATAATAATAGTAATATTTATTAATCTAATTAAATGCCATACGTATCTTAGCTAATTTAATCCTCTCAGAAACTCTTATATTCCCATTTTACAAATGAAGAAACAAAGGAACAGAGTAGTTAAATAACATGTCCAAGAGCACAGGAGCAAAGAGTGGTATGCAGTCAGAATTTAGAACACCTAGCAGAAGCCTAGAATATATTAGCTCTTGAATAAGTCATTAAATCCAAACAGAACACCATTCTCTACATACTACTTTGTTCATACACTTCTTTTACTGGGAATTTTAACTTGTCTCTGCCTACACTTTATATTAAATTGACTAGTCCCTTCTTTCACAGCCCATCTAAAACCCTCTTTGACACCCCATCCTTACTCCAATAATATCTTACTGGTAATTTTTAGAGCACTTACCAAACTAACTTGCGTGCCATATATTAATGAATATATCTATTTTGTAATTAGCTTGACATATCTGAGAAGATGGGGATTGTGTTTTTTGTTTGTTTTTCAATTTTTTTAAAGATTCATTTATTATATTTGGAACGCAAAGTTACAGAGAAGCAGAGAAGAGAGGAAAGAGAGAGAGAGTCGTCGTCCATCTGCTAGTTCACTCCCCAAATGGTCACAATGGACAGAGCTGGACCAATCAGAAGCCAGGAGCTTCTTCTGGGTCTCATACACTGGTGCAGGGGCCCAAGGATCTGGGCCATCTTCCACTGTTTTCCCAGAGCATAGCAGAGAGCTGGATCGGAAGTGGACCAGCATCAATATGGGATGCCAGCACTATAGGCGGCAGCTTTACCCTCTATGCCACAACACCAGCCCCTTGTTTGTTTTTAATCTTTGAATACTACATAGCATGACCCAGTGCTTTACCACACATAAATGCTCATTAAAACTTTGTTAAATATACTTTTTTTTTTTTGACAGACAGAGTTAGACAGTGAGAGAGAGAGACAGAGAGTAAGGTCTTCCTTCCGTTGGTTCACCCCTCAAATGGCTGCTACGGCCAGCGCTGCACCAATCTGAAGCCAGGAGCCAGATGCTTCCTCCTGGTCTCCCATGGGGTGCAGGGCCCAAGGACTTGGGCCATCCTCCACTGCACTCCCTGGCCACAGCAGAGAGCTGGCCTGGAAGAGGAGCAACCGGGACAGAATCCAGCGACCCAACCGGGACTAGAACCCTGGGTGCCGGTGCCGCAGGCGGAGGATTAGCCAAGTGATATAAGAATACATCTTCCAGGATTTTTTAATTATAGGATATCATATATATGTATACATATATGTACATAAATATATTTAAAGATTTTTTTTATTTATTTGAAAGATAGAGTTACAGAGTGAGGGAAAGAGAGATACTCCATATGCTGGTTCATCCCTAAATAGCCACAACAGCCAGATCTGGGCTGAGGCCAGGAGCCTGGGGCTTCTTCCAGACCTCTCAAGTGGGTGCAGGGACCCAAACACTTGAGCCATCTTCTGCTGCATTAGCAGGGAGCTGGATTGAAGTGGAGAAGCCAGGGCTTGAACCAGTGCCCATATGGGTAGCCTATATCACAGGCAGCAGCTTAACTCATTGTACCACAATGCCAGTCCTATTTTCCTGGATTTTATCAGAATAAAATATTTTTATTTAAAAAAACTACAATATGTCTCTCCAAATTCCTATGATATTTATTATTCCCAGACTATACTGGATTTTTCAAGCAATGCAACTTGGAGAATGGTCCTTAAGTTTTAATGGAGTTTTTAACGTAATTTTAGTAAGTAGATCTTTTCCCTACTCAAAAAAGAATACTCCATCAAATTTTACTGTCCATGTGAAGGCATTAATTGAAAAACAGACCTCCAAAATGACTGAACCATGCTAGCATTCAGGCATACACAGGTAAGTTAGTACTTACTGAAAGACATCTATAGGCCAGCGTTGTGGTGTAAGCAGGTAAAGCCGCTGCCTGCAGTGCCGGCATCCTATATGGGCACTGGTTTAGTCCCAGCTGTTCCACTTCCCATCCAGCTCTCTGCTTTGGCCTGGGGAAGCAGTAGAAGATGGCCCAAGTCCTTGGGCCACTGCACCCACGAGAGAAACGCGGAGAAAGCTCCTGGCTCCTGGCTTCGGATCAGCGCAGCCCCTGCCATTGCGGCCAACTGAAGAGTGAACCAGCAGATGGAAAACCTCTCCCTCTCTCTCTCTCTCTCTCTCTCTGCCTCGCCTTCTCTCTGTGTAACTCTGACTTTCAGATAAATAAATAAATCTTTAAAAAAGAAAAGAAAGACATCCATGTAGTTTCCTAGTACATATGAACCTTTCCAGTGTGCACAAAGAACTTCCAAGCTACTGAGCACAAAATATTCCTTATCTAAGTGGCACCAGTGCCATCTGCAGGAAAAGCTCAAGCAGCAGTTGTGGTTTTATGCATGTATTTCTCTTCTTTGGTCCCAACACAAGGTTCTGTCTTTCTTTTATGCTAAGAAAAACACTATAGGGCTCATCTATTAAAGGTTTTCATCCATTCTCCCTGATGGATAAAACAAGCTTTGTTAAAATACAAGAAACACAGCACAGCTGAGCTAGAGAAATCTAATGTTCAAAAGACCACTGGAATATGATTTAAGAAACAAAATGTGGCAACAGAAGTCCTTTCTTGTGTTAGCCTGAAGAATGTTCATAATCCTGGCTATGCAAACTGAATCTTCAAGAAAGCTTCACTGTAGATGTATTAGATGCAAGATATTTGACAAAATGTCATTTATTTTTATAACTTTAAAACAATTTTCTGTTTTATAAATTTATTTTATTAAATTTATATTTGATTTCTGGTGTGTAAAACAGTCTTTCAAAATTATATTTTGCTTATATTTTTTTCTTCTCCTTCCCCAAGATTTAGGTTCCTCAAATTCAGTACCTAAACTCTGTGTTCTATACAATACTTAGGGAAAAAATATCAATACTTCTGGGCATAATTGCTTCTAATCTTAAGGAGTTTTTACACTAGTTCACCTCTTGACCTATCTATAATCCAGTGGAAATAACACACACTAAATTCTATAGCTAACATAACCATGCTTCAATTCTTCCCCAGTAATGCAGCATTCTTCTATTTCCCAAAGTAAAGAAATTAGTATCTCAATTCCATAACCACAATTAATAAGGAAAAACCTTTTTCTTAATTCAATTCTCAATGTAGCACTGAAATGAACAAATGTTCTCAAACATTGGTAAGCAAAATGGCCAAAGTCATTAACTGAAATAAAATTTATAAGATTGAAATGATAAGCTAATATTATATGCACTGAGCACTAATTAGAATCATCTCAACAATCTGGAAAATAGATTCACAGAGAGAAAAAAAAATCTATTGATATAAAACTTATTCCTAAAAGTAAACTAGTCATGCTGTTCAAACTCATAAATTGCAACACTGAATTCATGGTCTATTATGAATAATCTACACCATTTCACTTGTACAAAAAAATTGAGTTTTCATACTCCTTATAAATTAAATAGTAATTAATGGTCATCTGCAACTATCAAATCATTCTAATATAACTACCTGTGATAAGCAAAAGTAAATTGCATGTTATCATCCAGAAATAAACAAAAGTATATTTCATTTATTTTATTTTTAAATTCTCTTCAAATATAAAAGTTATTCATAAAGTTCACGAAAATGTATATTGTGAAAAAAACTATGCATGCACGGAGTTCAACAAATTTGCAACAAAATAATTGTATCACTTAACTGCATTTTTCCACAAACTTTTTGATGTACCCTTTTACATTAATTATGGTTTCATCTCCATTTTTCAATGAATAATTACAGTTGAGTGGTTGGTGGCAGTGTTGTCATAAGATGGATTCTACAGACAGTAATAATTGGTGGTAAAAATAAAGTTATTTTAAAGTTAACAGAAGCTATGAGAGTTTTCCAAAGCTTAGAAGTCTTCATCTTTGCCTTATCTAGCCAAGGTATAGTACACCAATATATATATATATATTTTTTTATTTTTTGACAGGCAGAGTGGACAGTGAGAGAGAGAGACAGAGAGAAAGGTCTTCCTTTGCCGTTGGTTCACCCTCCAATGGCCGCCACGGCCGCCGCGCTGCGGCCGGCACACCGCGCTGATCCGATGGCAGGAGCCAGGAGCCAGGTGCTTCTCCTGGTCTCCCATGGGGTGCAGGGCCCAAGCACCTGGGCCATCCTCCACTGCACTCCCGGGCCACAGCAGAGAGCTGGCCTGGAAGAGGGGCAACCGGGACAGAATCCGGCGCCCCAACCGGGACTAGAACCCGGTGTGCCGGCGCCGCTAGGCGGAGGATTAGCCTAGTGAGCCGCAGCGCCGGCAGTACACCAATATATTAAGGGATTATACCAAAGATACCATATCAATAACTGAGTATATATCTGATTGTAAAAGAGAATTAAATTAAGAGCAAAAAACAATGGAAGAAGTTAAATGGTTCAACAGAGGAGACAAAAATACAAAGGCTAAAACTCCATTAACATAATATAGTTGTAACTAGCTAATCTTAGTCCATAAAATTTTATTTAAATCAATATATAAACCAAGAAAAGCATTTCCACATGCATAAATTGATTTTCTTCTAACCTATGGTATTAGCTATGATGTATAAAGAGTGATATACTAAGCCAGTATCATAGAGAAGCATAAATGAGTGGATGGCTTGCCTGATCTATTCCTATAACCAGCTACCACAATTCCAACATGCACTTTGCCACTCACTTTTCATCCACAAGACATTTGCTTTTCTGTAATGGAAATTATTTTTGAAACAACAGCAAAGAGAGGAAATTAGTGTCTAGCAGCCCTCTACTTTGCTTTATTTCCCCTTCTCCATTCACCAATTAACATTCCTTTTCTGGTGCTTCAAATGTTAAATTTGTTGCCCTCTCCCAGTGGTGTAATATAAATAAAACCACATTTCAGGGGGAAGCAAGGATGAAAATCAAACTTTCAATTCCTCAGAGCATCCCATTTTCTACTCAACATATTTTATAATGACTTAGAAATATTATAGAAATGCATCAGTTTTTTTTTGTTAGTTTGTGTGCTGTCAAAATCCCAGAACTATAGCTGCCAAATGCAACATCAGCCTGGGAGAGCTGTAGATATGAAACACCAATCTGAGAGCGCTGAAGCATGGGCTGAGTCTAGCAAAGCCATGGTGACAGGTCAGCCTGAGACTCGACCCCAATACCAGCGTGTACAAGTTGCAGGATGTGCAATGAAAACAGATTCTGGAGCTCTAAGATTTAATGTTGTTTTCCAGGTTGGGTTTTGGACTTTTGGACTTAACTTGGGACTTGTTACTACCTTTTTGTTTCCCCTTGGCCTTTTTTTTTCCCCTTTTAGAAATGGGGATACCTGTCCTATGCTTATCCCATCATCATGGTTTGGAAATAGATAATAATTAATTGCCACAGGATCAAACATGCCTTGATTCTCACCCGTATCTAATTCAGTTAACAATCTGGACTGGACTTTTGAGTTGATGTTAGAACAATTTAAGACCTTGGGGCTACTGGTATGAGATTAATGTATTTCACTTGTGAAAGTACATGAATTTGAGGGATCAGGGGCCAAATGGTATAATTTGACTGTGTCATCCAAAAGTTTTTTTTTTTTTTTTTAATTATAGGTTTCTTTATTTTTCACTAAACAGGCAATTGAAATACATGGTACAAAAATAAGTGGCAAGATTATTGTAAAATGAAATGGACAGAATAAATACTCACTTTAATTTTCCATCTATGAGAATTTCACAATAAAATCATAGTTTACTTTGTATTATTATAGACGTGCTTATTGGATCTATTCATCATTACATAAGGCAACTGACAAATTCCTGAAGTTACCAATAATCATTTGGGTGAAGGATTTTTTTTTTAAAGTTTCAAAAGGTTTGGTTTTATGCAACCAATACAGTATATAAAGGGGAAGGATCAGAAACTTCTAAAAAGTAGCTAAATGTTTCAAAAGGTAAACCATGTGACAAAAGTTTTTGTGTTGGAAATTTAATCCCCAAACTCATAAATTAATGGTATTTAGAGGTGGGCCCTTGGGGAAGTAACCAGATGTAGTAAAGGTCATCCGTGTAGGCCCCCTTCCTGGCATTAATGGCTTTAAAAGAAGAGGAAGAGCAACCGAAGCTGGTACACTTGTTCTGTGTTATCAGATGGCTTTTACCATATTATCGCGTAACAAAAGGGCCCTTTCCAGAAGGCAGAAAGATGCCAGCATTATGCTCTTGAACATACTAACATCCAGAACAGAAAGTTTGTAAGGTTTTGTTTGTAAATTATCCAGTCTGTAACATTGTAATACAGCAACATAAAAAATACTAAGACACCCAAGGGGCCAGCTTTGCAGCACAGCAGGCTAAGCCACAGCTTATGATGCCAGCATCCCATATCAAAGCAGGGATTTGAGTTCTGCTTGCCCCCATTCTGATCCAGCTCCCTGCTGATACACCTGGGAAGGCAGAGTATGGCCCAAGCACTTGGACACCTGCTACCTACATGGGAGACCTGGATGGAGTTTCAGGCTCCTGACTCCAGACTGGCCCAGGCATGGCCATAGCAAGTATTTGGGGGAATTAACCAGTAAATGAAAGATTTTTCTCTGTCACTCCCTCGCTCAGACACTCTATATTTCAAATAAAAAAATTAAATCTAACACAAAACAGTAATACACTTATTACAGAATTTGATTACTGCTTTCTCTAGATTACATTAGCAGCAAAGATATACTAAATGGAAATCAAATATCAATATTAATTAGTGATTCAAAATATCTGAGAAGGTTATATATTTCATAGCTATTGAAATAGTTGGCCAGCGCCACGGATCACTTGGCTAATCCTCCACCTGCGGCGCTGGCACCCAGGGTTCTAGTCCCAGTTGGGGTGCCAGATTCTGTCCCGCTTGCTCCTCTTCCAGTCCAGCTCTCTGCTGTGGCCCGGGAAGGCAGTGGAGGATGGCCCAAGTGTTTGGGCCCTGCACCCGCATGGAGACCAGGAGGAAACACCTGGCTCCTGGCTTCGGATCTGCGCAGCGCTGGCCACAGCGGCCATTTCGGGGGTGAACCAACGGAAGGAAGACCTTACTCTCTGTCTCTCTCTCACACTGTCTAACTCTGTCTGTCAAAAAAGAAATAGTTAATGTTGTCTTACCTTCATGAAAAATTTATCAAATGATGATAGAATCTTATAGCTATTGTTAAGTATACACTTAGCCAGATCATTATCAAGTGTTCTGAGATGAAATTCTACCACTCAAGGCTCTCCCAAACCAAGACTACAATTTTGAAGCTGGTAGTCCTTATCATGGTAAAAAAGAATACAGTGGTGGTAAGGATTTAATGTATTCTTTGTGTGGCCTTAGGAAAATTATAAATCATTATAAGCAAATAATAATTTAGTTTTCTTCTAAAAACAATATTTCTTTCACTTGCTCAATGAAAGAGCAATTTATAGTTGTTTTTTGAAACTAAATTCAAGAAACCATGGGAATAAAGAATAGTAATGAATTTTTTTCTGAAAAATAATAAGATTCATTGTGATCAGTAATTATTAAAACTTATGCCAAGGCAGTTAATAATGAGAAAAGTAAATTAACTATATTCTTTGTTCTAGCATATACAAAATAACCAAAGGGTAGAAAAAGAAGGATGTACTATTTCGACACTTTACACTGGACTGTAATTGGTGATACATAGTTGTTGACAAGTGGCACTTGAGTTTTCAATATTCCTGAAGTTCTATAAATCAGACCACTGCTTAAAATATACCAAAGCACTGGATGCTTTCCATATCATCATAATCATAAACTGAAAGGACATGTCCATCGGAGACAGATATGTACATAAATCCCCACTGTGTGGCCTTTGGTAATTCATTTAATATCTTGATCATTATCATATTTACAAATAAACCTCATAGGGTATTTTTGGATTGCACTAAATGAGGAAAGTTCACCATATGGCATTTGCCACCTAATAGGCAATCAATAAATGGTAAATAGTCATGTAGTTCTGAATAGCAAATTGAAAAAATCCTTTCCATTCATACATACCCTATGAAACTCTACTCCCAATCACATGTATAAATAAAAAGACTTGGTGGGTCTTTCATTTCTGAATTCTAGATTACCTATAAAACAAAAACATCTACTTAAGTTATTGCATGCTGCTCTGCCTTTAGCAGAGGTGATTGAGATAATGTCTTAACTAGTCTCATATTCTTATTTTCCTTAGAAGTTTTGCTAATGGGCTCTTAATGATTATTAGAAAATGTCAAAGGATAGATTCTTTAAATGAGGCAGTTTCTGTTGAAAAGAACATAGTTATTCAGAATAATTAATTCTTTATAGCAGCCGAGTAACAGCAGGAAAGCTCTGCCAAGTCACTGGAAAACTAGCCAGAAAGTTAGCAGATAAGTGTTGTTATGTCACCAGTCAATACAGGTGTTTTGAGTTTCTAGAAGCTTTGTTTTCAGAGGAAAAACATTTCAGTGACTCTAAGAGAGCATTAGGGCAACCATAATGAGTGTGAGACCAGATGCCAGTCATAATTTTAGGCCAGCTGCTACCTCCTTATGATTTTGAACAAAGACCTACCCTCTGAGAGCACAGCTCTTCCTCTGCCTGGAGATTGCTATCATAAACAACCGCGCAAAGCAGATTCTGGCAGGATTTAAACATCATGCTGGGCTGCAGCATAGCTGTAATGGAATGAGGTCTTGTGTGAGACTGGGATTTGTTAAAACCGTGTATGAGAGAAGGTGGACCTGAGAAGTACACTTAGTCAATGATAAAGTATTAAGTTTAGAGAAATATAGCAGTTTCAAGTAAGACTCTCAGAACTTACTTAAGTTTTATCCCTACCTGGATAAAATTCCTATGCTGGAATAGATAATACCCAAGCTCTAAAAATCTTTAAAAAAAAAATCAAGTTTGAAGCTCTTCTCTGCTATACACAAGCTATATGATCTTGGGAAATTTATGTGACTTTTTAAAGTTTAACTTTCTTCCTCTTTAAATTGCTGGAAAAAAAATAGCACCTATATCATAGGATTGCTATGATGATTAATTGAATTAATAACAAACTTATTAGCATTTGCTTGAAATAAAATAGGGCTCAACAAATGATGGTTGTAATTATCACACACAATTCATTTTGGATTAGACAAAAACATCTAAACTTGTTGTAGCAAAGAAAAGACAAATCTTTTTTCACATAAAGGAAGTTTTTAGATAGGAAGCCCAGGAGTATTCCTACTTTTTGTTCCATCATCTTAGCAGTTACAGTCAATCCTCAAGTGCATTAAATGATTCAAATGATTTCCAAAGTACCAATCAGCACTGTCAGTTTATCAAACATCTGGAGACAGAAAAGAGGAAAAACAAAAACAAAGATCACCCTTCCTAACTTGCCAGGCACCCCCCCCCCCTCAGGAACACCTTTTATTTAAGGAATACAAATTTCATTCATCTTATAAATACAACTTTAGGAACATAGTGATTCTTCCCACCATACCCACCCTCCCACTCACACCCCTCCTCCTCTTCCCTCTCCTATTTCCAGTCTTACTTTATAACTTATGAGACATAAGAATATCCTCCACTTAATACACTTAAATGAAGTATTCTTTGAGAGCAAGTTTTACTATTAACTCTCATAATTCAACTCTTTGTTGACAGAGGTCCTGCATGGGAAGTTAGTGCACAGTAACACTCCTATATATATGATGTCAGTGATCACCTGAGGCTCTTGACTTGAGTTGCCTAGGCTATGGAAGCCTTTTGAATCCACAAACTCCTTCAGCATTTAGACAAGGCCATAGCAAAGTGGAAGTCTTTCCTCCCATTAGAGAAAAGTGCATCCTTCTTTGATGGCCACTTCTTTCCTTTGGGATCTCACTCACAGAGATCCTTCATGCAGAATATTTTTGCCACAGTGTCTTGACTTTCCATGCCTGAAATTCTCTCACTGGCTTTTCAACCAGACCAAGAAGCCTGAAGGGCTGATTCTCAGGTCAGAGTGTTATTTAAAATAATTGTCATTCTATGAGTCTGCTGTGTGGACTGCTTCCCATGTTGGAACATTCTCTCCTTTTTAATTCTAGCTATTATAATTACCCAACACTTGATCCTTTTTATATGGTCATTTTAACATATTAACATTAACATAACATCTTAATCCTAATCTGTATGTTCACTTTAACACTTAAAATGATATTTCATCCTCTGGTTCTCTCCCAAATGCCTGCAATGGACACAGCTGGACCAGGTGGCAACCAAGAGCTGAGAACTCAATCCAGGTCTCTCACATGAGTGGCAGAGGCCCAAGTATTCAAACCATCAGTTGCTGCCTCCCAGAGTGTGCATTATTAGGAAGTTAGAATTGGAAGCAAAGCCAGGATTGAAACCCAAGCACTCCTATATGGTATGTGGGTGCCCCCAAGTGGTGTCTTAACTGTTACCCTTTTCTTATTTTATTAGTTATTTAATTCAGTTCTGGGTGAGCAATCTAAAACACCAACTTGTGAGAATAAATTCCATTTGTTAGGGCAAGAGTAGATATCTCTGATAACCCTGGAGCAGATGAATAGCTTTGATTTTTTTGAAAAATTTGTCAGTCTGTAGCTTTCTGATCAACCTTATTCTGCTCTGTTATCTTGTCTTTCTCATTCTCCATGTTGAAGGTGTCACCTTCCTGGTGTTTGGACTTCCACAGTTGCTGTTTCTTGAAATAAGCATTGGTAAGATGTTTTGGAATTTCCACACTGCTGACATCAATTTTCATGTAGGTGGCAACAGCAAATTTCTGATGTGTCCTACACAGAGGAACTCAATGGAGGAAGAGAGGATCTTATGAGTAGCAAACCACTGCTCATCTGCCTCAGGAAAACCACCCTCTTGCCTCTGTGAAGCCCAGTGAGGATATTCAGAGTGGTCCTGGGAGTGATGCTGGCCCAGTTTCCTCATATGCTGATTGAAGGATTTCTTGCTAGGACTCAGCTTCTTTTGAGACACCATCTTCAGTGGGATAATATCTAGGCATTTTGCAAACCATAATCACCCTGGTGCCACCATTCTGATCACCATCAACTGGTTTTCTGACAGTAGCAAGAAGCTTCCTTTTCTTTTCAATCGTGGATTTATGAGCTGAGTACTTCCTCTTGTGCGTGGTCTTCCTGGATTACATAGCAGACTGGGGGTATCTGTTGGCTCTTCTCACGAGGATAGGGTTTCAACTGCAGCATGGTTTCCCCTTCTTGTGCTTTTTATCCTTGAGGTTACTCTTTTTAACCCTGCCACTTGCATTCTTAGCCTTCTTGATTAGGTTTCTATTGATGTCTGGTTTCAGAGTTGTCTCACCCACTGGCTTACAAGATGAGGAAAAGCCCTTTGAATAATTTTTGACCCTAAAGTTTGCTAACGATAATAGTGTAAAATTGAGTTTCAAAATATTTCATAAAATATTAGGGAAAATTTGATTTGCTTAGAAAGGCCCAAGCATTTCTTCCATATTTTGTTTCAAAACAGTTTACATGGGTAATAAAGTATTTAAGATAGTGGAATTTTTTACCCATTTTTTATGTTGGTATTCTTCAGCCAAAGCTGTAGTATTATGTCTAATCTGTGAACTGAGTGGTTGAAATAGCCTTCAAGTTATTGTTTAAATATTTAAGTTTTGAGGCGGCACTGTGGCGCAGTGGGTTAACGCCCTGGCCTAAAGCACTGGCATGCCATATGGGCACTTGTTCAAGACCCAGCTGTTCCACTTCTGATCCAGCTCTCTGCTAAAACCTGGGAAAGCCATAGAAGATGGCCCAGCACCTTGGGCCCCTGCACCCATGTCAGAGACCCAGAAGAACCTCCTGGCTCCTGGCTTCAGATCAGCGCAGCTCCAGACATTGCAGCCAACTGGGGAGTGAATCATCGGATGAACGACCTCTCTCTCTCTCGCTCTCTATCTCTACCTCTCCTCTCTCTAACTCTGGCTTTCAAATAAATAAATAAATCTAAAAAAAAAGCAATCATTTAAAATAAATAAATAAATATTTAAGTTTTATAAAAGTCACTTTTTACCTTCATTTAAAAAGTCTATAAAAATTCTGATGCTAAATTGTTGTATATCCCAATGAGACAAATCTAGAAGAAAACATTGGAAGTGTGAGTCTATTCAAGATGTTGTGCTTCACAGGAGCATGGTAGTGAGGAAATAGCTACATATCTCCCGGAAGGTTAGGAGTATTCTTTCCTTCAGGTGAAAAATTTCTCTTTGGTTTTATTTTTTGATTCCTAAAATAAATCTTTCATCTGGAAAGTACATATACATAGAGTATGTTATATGTGGAACAATATATATAACAGTCTTCAGAAAACACTATACTCTTAAAGATAAGAAATTTGGCTAAATTTTAAGTATGAGTAGTCTATGGCCATACCACCCTGAATGCTCCCGATCTCATCTGAGAAGTATTAGTAGCTGACCAAAGTAACTACATAAAATAACCACGTTAAATATCTTTAAAGGGAACTTGAATAATATTTTAAAGAAAATAAAATTATTTTTAAACTGGAAAACACAAGAATTACAGAGAAATGAAACCAAACACCTTTATGAAGAGACCTGTTGTGTATTAGACTTGGTGAAAGTTTGACATCTGTTTTCACTGATTTGGAGAGGTGGCTCATAAAATGATACAATCTCAGCCTTAGTTAATTTCTCTTCTCTACCATCAAAAAAGTCATTGAATTTTGAGAAGCATTTGAAAGCTTTTTGTAAATATAAACTTGTTAATATTTGAATCATAGATGAAGAAATTCTTCAAATGGCTTTGATTCTGATATTGAGCATGCTTACAGAGGTAACTCTGGAAGGTATGAAAAACTGAGTGGTGTACACAATAAATAAGTGGTATTAAAAACATAAATCCTCCCAAAGGATACTATGATGGTAGCTCCCATTCTTGTAGCAGTATTTTCTATTCATAAAAATCCAAGGACTCCATAGCAATAATGCCCCTTTGTGGGGAGCAACTGGGAGCAACTCGGACTAGACTAAGTTACTGGAATTAAGACTTATTCTACGCATCTGCTCTCCCACAATATGGCGCTGGGAGAGGAGGAAACAGCTTCTACAC